CCAATGTTGGATCAGGCCAAAGGCCCATCCAGTCCAACACTCTGTATCACACAGTGGCCAGAAATACCGGTGCCATCAGGAGGTCCACCAGTGGGGCCAGGACATTAGAAGCCCTCCCACTGTTCCCCCCCCCCAAGCACCAAGAAGACAGAGCATCACTTGCCCCTATCTATACCTTGTGGCTAATAGCCACTGATGGACCTCTGCTCCATATGCTTATCTAATTCCCTCTTGAAGCCATCCATGCTTGTAGTCGCCACCACTTCCTGTGGCAGTGAATTCCATGTGTTAATCACTCTTTGGGTGAAGAAGTACTTCCTTTTATCCATTCTAACCCGACCGCTCAGCAATTTCATTGAGTGCCCACGGGTTCTTGTACTGTAAGAAAGGAAGAAAAGTACCTCTTTCTCTACCTGTTCTATCCCATGCATAATCTTATAAACCTCGATCATGTCACCCCTCAACCGTCGTTTCTCCAAGCTAAAGAGCCCTAAGCACTTCAACCTTTCTTCATAGGGAAAGTGTTCCAACCCAGTCATACACTGTCTCGACATTTTCAGTGAGTTATCTACTACGACTCCAAGATCTCTCTCTTGTTCCGTCTCTGCCAGTTGGGACCCCATCAATGTGTATTTATATTTAGGATTTTTTGCTCCAATGTGCATCACCTTGCACTTGGCCACATTGAACCACATTTGCCATGTTGACGCCCACTCGCGAATCAAACCCAGTTCTCCCAGAGTCCACACACTTAACCACCAAACTGGCATCAAAATGAAGAACAAGAAAAGGGACTGCCCAGAAAAAAAGGGGGGAGGGATTGTTATACACTGTAACCCGGATCTGAGAGATGGAGCGTGTATTTAGGGTATGGCTGGCTTATAGACACATAGTCATGTGAACTTCACATGACTTTATGATAAACCATCTAATTTCTTTTTCTCTAAAAGCATGATATAAGACACCTCAGGGCATCCAAAAACATAATTGCTGCAAAATCTGTTCTGCTTGTTCTGGGATTTATTGTGAGCATCAAGCCACTGATTCATACGTTATTATTCTCAAGGCTGAAAACTTGTAAGTTAGCTAGAAGAGTTGGGGGAGGCACATTTGCTGATTTGCACAAAAACCTAACAGCAAACTCTCAGGCCTGCTGTGTCAAAACAGCCCAAACAAAGGTTCAAAGTTTTAAATTCGCAAATACGGAAAGATCCTTAATTAGGAAGCAGCTTGAGAGGCCTTGTTTGAATCATCTAAACTATTCCCCACTAAGGAGGGCACAACAGATACCCGACAATTAACCCGATAAGCTAACCTAACAAAAAATTCATCCCGATAGAAAAGATATTAGTCAGCCTCAACCTGAACAGCGACAAAAACCTGTATATAAACAGCCTTACTGGATCAAACCAATAAGGGGGAGGGGCTGTGGCTCAGTGGTAGAGCACCTACTTGGCATGCAGAAGGTCCCAGGATCAATCATTGGTGTCCTCCAGGTGAAAGGACCAGGTAGTAGGTGATGTGAAAGACCTGAGACCCTGGACAGCCACTGCCAGTAGACAATAGTGACCTTGATGGACCAAGGGTCTGATTCAGCATAAGGTAGTTTCATATGTTTATGTGTCCATCTAATCCAGCATCCTGTCTCCAACAATGGCCAACCAAAAGGCTTCTTGGAAAGCCTACAAGGAGGGTGTGAAGGCAGCAGCCTTCCCCTGTTGCTTGTATCCATAATTCAGGCAAGAAGATCTGCTCATTCATGAAACTGCCTTATGTTCAATCAGACCCTTCGTCTATCAAGTTCAGTACTGCCCACTCAGACTGGCTGTGGTTCTCTTCAAGTCTTTTCCATCATTTCCTACCTGGTCCTTTCTAACCGGAGATGCTGGGGTTTGAACCTGGGACCTTCTGTGTGCCAAGCAGATGCTCTACCACTGAGCCACAGCCCCTCCCCAGTCCATTCTTGCTGCTCACAGGCAAGACTGAGCTGGCATAAGAGGAGCACCGCTGGGATCAGATGGAGGGGGTCCATCTCATATAGTGTCCTGTCTACTTCCATGTCCATACAGATGCCTCTGGTAAGCCCACAAGCAGGACAGGAAGACAATAGGCCCCACTCCCTTATTTTTGTTTCCCAGGTACACTGCCTCTGCACACGGAGGTTCCATTCCAGTATCACATCTACTTAGTGTTGACAGACCCTCTTCCACAAAAGTGTATCACCCTTTTTAAAGGCTTCTGAGCTTGCACTGGCAAATCCCACCAGTTTATTACATGTTGTGCCAAGAACTTCCTCTTGACGAGGGACAAAATTCTGGGGGGTAGAAGGTCACCCTGGGGAGCCCACAGAGCAAGGAAAGTCATGTGATTTATTTCCACCGGATACTTTGGATTGGGGTCTCTCTGATGTCAGCAGGGGCCCCAAAGGAACCTGGAGGCTCACGGCTGCTCTTGGCAACCACAAGAGAAATATTACCAGGTGTGCACCGAGCCAAGCAGAGTCCTGCTTTTGGCTACAGTCACTCCTGATTCCTCCACGAGATCAGAGGGACTGTCCCCATCCCAATGGGTTGGATCGGAAGGAATGTACCAGAAGATGTGGCCGAGGAGCATGGCAGCGTAGTCACGGAGGGTCCAGTGATCGTTGAGGGGGTTGATAGAGGCGGCCAGGGGCTCCAGGACACAGTACATGACACTGGCGATGAGGCTCTTGACGTAGGAGCCCAGGCACAGGTAGGGGTTTTGGATGAGGCTCTTGGCCACATGCAGGAGGCGATTCAGCTGCTCCAAGTCGTGGCTCACTGACTTGACCTGCCACCGGAGCCAGAAAAGGAAAATGTATTGCAGGAAGGGACGGCCCCAAGGAATGCAGTCTAATCATCCCGGAGCCTAGTCCTTCCAGGGAGTATCACATCCACTGAGCCTGCAGAACCCCCCACACACACCTCTTTTCCTCCTATTCCAGCATCTCAGTCCATGTTCTCACATTTTATTTTATTGATTTTCTTCATCTATACCATGCTTTCCATCCCAAAGTGGCTCACATCATTCTCTGGTCCTCTCTTTCATCATCACAACAATGCCGTGAGGCAGGTTATGCCGAGACTGTGTGACCATTAGGCTGAGACTGTGTGACCAGCCCAAGGTCACCCAGAAAGTTTCCACAGCAGTGGTGATTCGAACCTCGGTCTCCCAGATCCTAGTCTGCCACTCTAACCACTACACTACACTGGTTCTTTCTTACAAATACATTACAGTGAAGTACCCCACAGTCCCACACAAACAGGGTATGTGGCATTTGCTTTAAAGCTGAACTTCCAGAGAATGCTGGTGTTTGTTATAAAGCAAGCTTCTAGTCCTTATGATTAGAAAGATAGGTTTGAAAGCACATGTTTACTGTATGTGTGCATTCTGGTTTTTACCATTTTTAATAAAAACCCTACCAATTGAACATCTGCCTGGATATTTCTGAGAGTTCTTAAAGGGACAATCCCAGTATACCCAGGTGTCTCGGTCCCAAATGCCCCTCCTCTCACTCAGTCTAATTCCCCCAATGAAAGTGGAGACTGCCTCTTTGGGTAACACTGTTGTGAAAACTGATCATGCAGAATGGCTCTTGTCAAGGAGGAAGGGTAAGAGGATTCCCTCACAGAAGAGAGAGGTGCCAGAGTCTGGTCTGGAGGCTCTCTACTCACCCCGCTCACGACGTAGACAAAGTAAGGCAGGAGGGCCGCAATTTTCGAGTTGGTCTGCAAGTCCTGAAGGGCGACCTGTGTGAGAAGGAACCCGAAGGTCAGACGTGAGGGAGAAGCAATACCACCCTCTCAATCTTCTGGGCCAGCCCTTCCTTCAGCTTAGCCCACTGGCAGGGTTTTGGCCAGGAGTCTCCCCTCCTTCTCTCCTCATGTTTCATAAGGCCGTGGAGGGCACTGTGAACACTAACCATGTGATCCTACACAGAGTTACAGCTTTCTCCAACCATTAGCCTCGATGGACTGAGAAGAGTGTAACTCTGTTTAGGGCTGCACTAAGAGTCTCAAACACAGATTGTTTGAGAAAGGCGAACGCAGGCCCATCAGCCTCACTGTGAGGTCTGTCAGGAACTTGAGAACCGCTGCCAAAGTTTTTCACAGCCCCAAGAAGCAAGGAGCCCTCAGGAGCTGCCTGCCTGGATTCCAAGCAACGTGTAGCCTTTCTAGTCAGGAGTTCCTCACAGCTGTGAAACTGTCAGCACCTTCCCGGCCTTTCCTTCCTGCCCCACAATGCAGTTTCATAATTCATCCCCTCAACATCAGCTGTGCCCCATTCAGAAACCTTCCCCTACCCACCTTCATCAGGTGGGGGTCATCCCCTAGCACAGCCCGGGTCATGTGCTGGTAATA